AAAAAAAAAAAGAAAAAAAAAGTTTGAATAAGTAATATTACAAAAATAGTTACAGACGAATGCAAAATATTTTTTTGAATCTGTTAAAACATGCGATCAGAATAATTCAAGGAATTTTTTTTTATGGTTTGTAAATATAACAACTATGCAAGAAATGTTTGTTGGAGAATTTTCAATTTTTAAAATTTTTTGCCAATTCAGGAAAACTTTTGCATTTGTCAGTCATTTTCAAAAATATAAGTTTTTTTTTTTTTTTGATGTAGTTGGCAGTAATACATAGAGATGTCAACATTATTAAGTAGCTTCAATTGAGGTTATTTTTTCTTAGCGACCAAACACAAAGGTTTCAAATTACTCCTCCACAAAAGATATTTCCCATTTTATTGAAAACTAGTCATTTTTAAACGCTATCAACGAAAAACCTGTTATTATTTTTCTTTTTTTTTTTTGCATTTTTGCTTTGTTTTTTAAACTTAGCAATTCTATTTTGCAGCTCCAGAAGACAGTTTCACTTTGGAACGTGTATCTAGAGATTATGGAGTAGAAATGTCTGAATCTCAAACGTAAGTTTCTTATTTGTATATTACGTAGATAAACCAAAAAAATTTTGTAAATAGCTGTAGAAATAAAGAATTGTATAAATAAACAAATATAAATGTAACTTAATACAAAAGTAAATGAACAAAAACGTATTTATTGATGAATTTTTATATTTGTTTGTTGACATGTTCTATTATGTTTACAGCTATACAATTTATTTATTGCTCTAACTTAGTTAGTGGTTGCTAAACGTGCACCCATAAGTCAACAAACTTTTAAGTATTACTTTATCAAACCAACTAAGTACCTTTCAACAGTTTTGATCTATCAGATTAGCTAGTTTTGTTAGATTTAAAACTTGGTTTCAATAAAACTTTTTAGTTTACTGTTTTTATTTTTAAGTTCTAAAAAAGTTTTTTTTTTTCTTATGATTTTTCATTTTTTTTTTTTCATTTTTACAAAGACCAATGTATTTCAAGCATAATGTTAAGTAATGTTTTTTAGGGCCAAACTGGTCTCATATTTTAAAGTGTCAGAGCTGACTAAAAATTTAGTATTTTGATTAAGATAAAAATTATTAAAACCCTATGTACCGCAGCCAACCGAAGCTAAGTGCTCTTTATTTTAGTAGCTTAAAAGCATACATTAGTAACATTAAGAAAAACTCTAGAGAACAGTTTTATGATTACCTGGTTTCAAAAATTCTCTTTAAATATCGCAGTTGTAAATGATTGAAAAGTAGTTCCCCAATGGTGACAAACTTGAGGTCCAAAATGAGTGACGCACAAATTTCTGCTTTGAGCTTTTTTTTCTTTAAAGGCTCAAGTGAAAAATGCTTTTTCAGTTTGTTATGAATAAAAAATAAATTTTTTTTATTTATTAAACTTTATTTACAAGGGTAAATTGTTCCTGCTTTTGAGCATTTATGGCTAAAAATTCGCTCGTATAGGTTCAATATCTGGAGAAATTTTCTTTGAGTATTCTAGAAGATAGCAGAAAATAGCAAGAAATAGTTTTTTTGGTTTGGGAGAAGGTTTAGAACTTTGTTGCTGTCGCTTAACTATTTGACTGGTTCCATAACAAATCAGATTTTCATCTATAATTACGTTTCAACTTGGAAGAAGACTGATTGTGCTTTGGAATAACAAACAACGACAGATATCTAAGCAACGTATTCTGACTTTCTCATTTTATGCCATACCTATTTATCCAGCTCTTTTACTTTCACAGGCTCGAGAAGAGAGTGTAAGGTGCATGAAATAGTTGAGATTAGACTTAACACTAGCTCAATCTTCTTCTAAAAGGCACATTTCGTGAGGTTTTTTGAGAATACAGTAACCCACCTTTTAATTTCAAAACACTTTGTAAGATTTGATTCTCCTCTGTAAATGTTTAAAGTGACATTATGCTGTTTAAGGTTTTGAGTGACCTAATATCTCAACAGTTTGTTAAACGTTAGAAGCTACTTGATTACTAGATAATCATGACTCAACCTGTCAAAAAGTGTCAAAACTTACAGTCACTTTTATGCTTGCATTCAAAAAACTACAACTTAACGCAAGGTGTAGAGAGAAAAAGTTAAAACTTTTATTTGAAATTATAAAAACTAGTCTGTTTATGTGAATAAAGTTATAGACATTAATTAAGATCAAGTTATTTTTTCTAAAAATGTCAAGAAAAGATAGAAACTGTTTGAATAAAAAATCTCAGGTCTGATATCTTCAACATGCCTTTAAAAGCCAGATTGGAAGTTAAAAATTGTGCTTAAAAATTTTTCAAAAGAACAGTTAATTAGATGGGTTTTGATATAGTTGAAATATGCTGTAGGTAGAGGCCTATTAGACAAGAATATTTTCTTAAAACTCTAGTTATTTATAATGATTAACAAGAAGACTCAAAAGGCAGATAAGCTGAGCAACAAAAAAAAATTTGTAGTCTATTCTAGGAGAAATGCTGCTATTAACAAAAATAAATATTGCTATTTGAAGAAATTATAATAATTGAGCAGAGCCTGGTAAATTCAAAAAAAAAAAAAAAAAAGATAGAAGGAAATTAAAAATGTTTCTAGCTACGGTTCTTTGATCAAAGCTTCTCTGAAGAAGGATATATAATAAATGTCAACTTTGAAACAAAATAATCTATCTAAAAGTGCATAAGCTACATCGTTGGGTTTTACTGTTAACATTAAAAAAATGGAAAAAAAAGGAATGTTTTGGATAAAGCGATCACTGTTGAATGACTTTCAGTAAGTAGTCAAAACATCAGTTAGCACTAACAGTGAAACGTTATTAGCAAATTCTCCCAAATTTTTTTTAATTTTGTTTTTCGACTTTTTATAGCATATGCGTCAAAGTTAGAATGTGTAACAAGTGTTGTTATCAAATTTCAGAAGCAGTTTGAAGAAACGGGCAAGATCTGAAACCCCAAGACGAACGATTAATGTTGAGGTTTCTTTTATTTATTTTTTCTTAAAAACTGTATGTTACGCGACTGATTTGTTGATCTAATCTTACTGAAAATAGAACAAAAAATAACAAAAATTTATTGATCACTAATTGGTTTATAGTTTTAAAGCTTTGCTCTATTTTCAAATTTTACTCGATTATTTACTCCAAAATAAAACAAATAAGTTATTTCCGAGAAATATTATTAAACTACCTACAAAAGTGCTGTTTAGCTGTCACCACCGCCATCATCACTGCCAATTTGTGCCTATTGTTCAGAAGAAATTGAAGGACCAATAATCACAGCATTGGCACCCAATTCATACAGTTCACAGAAGTTCCATCCACATCACTTTATGTGCACATAC